GGCCAAAAATGGTCCTACACCAAAAATTCATACTGTTTTGAACAGATAACAAAATTTGCTATAAATCCATAAAACTTTCCGTGTAATTTTGGAAAAATAAAATTTTCGCCAATTTTTAATTTTTTTATAAGGGGGTACCCCATGATTTTTTGCGAAAAATTAAAAATGAATAAATTGTCAAGGTTTAAATGCCAATCGTTAGGAAATTTAATAACGAGTTCAGAAAGGTATGACAATCCATACTTTGAATCAGTATTTGCTTTGTTATAGCGAAAAAACAGCAACGTTTTAGCGAAAAAACGGGTTTGGTTTTTTTTTGGAAATTCGCGATTTCAGTTTTTGACAAAAATTGGAATTTTTTTCTTTTGGTTTTTTTGCTGTAACTTGGCCAAAAATGGTCCTACACCAAAAATTCATACTGTTTTGAACAGATAACAAAATTTGCTATAAATCCATAAAACTTTCCGTGTAATTTTGGAAAAATAAAATTTTCGCCAATTTTTAATTTTTTTATAAGGGGGTACCCCATGATTTTTTGCGAAAAATTAAAAATGAATAAATTGTCAAGGTTTAAATGCCAATCGTTAGGAAATTTAATAACGAGTTCAGAAAGGTATGACAATCCATACTTTGAATCAGTATTTGCTTTGTTATAGCGAAAAAACAGCAACGTTTTAGCGAAAAAACGGGTTTGGTTTTTTTTTGGAAATTCGCGATTTTAGTTTTTGACAAAAATTGGAATTTTTTCTTTTGGTTTTTTTGCTGTAACTTGGCCAAAAATGGTCCTACACCAAAAATTCATACTGTTTTGAACAGATAACAAAATTTGCTATAAATCCATAAAACTTTCCGTGTAATTTTGGAAAAATAAAATTTTCGCCAATTTTTAATTTTTTTATAAGGGGGTACCCCATGATTTTTTGCGAAAAATTAAAAATGAATAAATTGTCAAGGTTTAAATGCCAATCGTTAGGAAATTTAATAACGAGTTCAGAAAGGTATGACAATCCATACTTTGAATCAGTATTTGCTTTGTTATAGCGAAAAAACAGCAACGTTTTAGCGAAAAAACGGGTTTGGTTTTTTTTGGAAATTCGCGATTTCAGTTGTTGACAAAAATTGGAATTTTTTTCTTTTGGTTTTTTTGCTGTAACTTGGCCAAAAATGGTCCTACACCAAAAATTCATACTGTTTTGAACAGATAACAAAATTTGCTATAAATCCATAAAACTTTCCGTGTAATTTTGGAAAAATAAAATTTTCGCCAATTTTTAATTTTTTTATAAGGGGGGTACCCCATGATTTTTTGCGAAAAATTAAAAATGAATAAATTGTCAAGGTTTAAATGCCAATCGTTAGGAAATTTAATAACGAGTTCAGAAAGGTATGACAATCCATACTTTGAATCAGTATTTGCTTTGTTATAGCGAAAAAACAGCAACGTTTTAGCGAAAAAACGGGTTTGGTTTTTTTTGAAATTCGCGATTTCAGTTTTTGACAAAAATTGGAATTTTTTTCTTTTGGTTTTTTTGCTGTAACTTGGCCAAAAATGGTCCTACACCAAAAATTCATACTGTTTTGAACAGATAACAAAATTTGCTATAAATCCATAAAACTTTCCGTGTAATTTTGGAAAAATAAAATTTTCGCCAATTTTTAATTTTTTTATAAGGGGGGTACCCCATGATTTTTTGCGAAAAATTAAAAATGAATAAATTGTCAAGGTTTAAATGCCAATCGTTAGGAAATTTAATAACGAGTTCAGAAAGGTATGACAATCCATACTTTGAATCAGTATTTGCTTTGTTATAGCGAAAAAACAGCAACGTTTTAGCGAAAAAACGGGTTTGGTTTTTTTTGGAAATTCGCAATTTCAGTTTTTGACAAAAATTGGAATTTTTTCTTTTGGTTTTTTTGCTGTAACTTGGCCAAAAATGGTCCTACACCAAAAATTCATACTGTTTTGAACAGATAACAAAATTTGCTATAAATCCATAAAACTTTCCGTGTAATTTTGGAAAAATAAAATTTTCGCCAATTTTTAATTTTTTTATAAGGGGGGTACCCCATGATTTTTTGCGAAAAATTAAAAATGAATAAATTGTCAAGGTTTAAATGCCAATCGTTAGGAAATTTAATAACGAGTTCAGAAAGGTATGACAATCCATACTTTGAATCAGTATTTTCTTTGTTATAGCGAAAAAACAGCAACGTTTTAGCGAAAAAACGGGTTTGGTTTTTTTTGGAAATTGGCGATTTTAGTTTTTGACAAAAATTGGGATTTTTTTCTTTTGGTTTTTTTGCTGTAACTTGGCCAAAAATGGTCCTACACCAAAAATTCATACTGTTTTGAACAGATAACAAAATTTGCTATAAATCCATAAAACTTTCCGTGTAATTTTGGAAAAATAAAATTTTCGCCAATTTTTAATTTTTTTATAAGGGGGGTACCCCATGATTTTTTGCGAAAAATTAAAAATGAATAAATTGTCAAGGTTTAAATGCCAATCGTTAGGAAATTTAATAACGAGTTCAGAAAGGTATGACAATCCATACTTTGAATCAGTATTTGCTTTGTTATAGCGAAAAAACTGCAACGTTTTAGCGAAAAAACGGGTTTGGTTTTTTTTTGGAAATTCGCGATTTCAGTTTTTGACAAAAATTGGAATTTTTTCTTTTGGTTTTTTTGCTGTAACTTGGCCAAAAATGGTCCTACACCAAAAATTCATACTGTTTTGAACAGATAACAAAATTTGCTATAAATCCATAAAACTTTCCGTGTAATTTTGGAAAAATAAAATTTTCGCCAATTTTTAATTTTTTTATAAGGGGGTACCCCATGATTTTTTGCGAAAAATTAAAAATGAATAAATTGTCAAGGTTTAAATGCCAATCGTTAGGAAATTTAATAACGAGTTCAGAAAGGTATGACAATCCATACTTTGAATCAGTATTTGCTTTGTTATAGCGAAAAAACTGCAACGTTTTAGCGAAAAAACGGGTTTGGTTTTTTTTGAAATTCGCGATTTCAGTTTTTGACAAAAATTGGATTTTTTTCTTTTGGTTTTTTTGCTGTAACTTGGCCAAAAATGGTCCTACACCAAAAATTCATACTGTTTTGAACAGATAACAAAATTTGCTATAAATTCATAAAACTTTCCGTGTAATTTTGGAAAAATAAAATTTTCGCCAATTTTTAATTTTTTTATAAGGGGGTACCCCATGATTTTTTGCGAAAAATTAAAAATGAATAAATTGTCAAGGTTTAAATGCCAATCGTTAGGAAATTTAATAACGAGTTCAGAAAGGTATGACAATCCATACTTTGAATCAGTATTTGCTTTGTTATAGCGAAAAAACTGCAATGTTTTAGCGAAAAAACGGGTTTGGTTTTTTTTTGGAAATTCGCGATTTCAGTTTTTGACAAAAATTGGAATTTTTTCTTTTGGTTTTTTTGCTGTAACTTGGCCAAAAATGGCCCTACACCAAAAATTCATACTGTTTTGAACAGATAACAAAATTTGCTATAAATCCATAAAACTTTCCGTGTAATTTTGGAAAAATAAAATTTTCGCCAATTTTTAATTTTTTTATAAGGGAGTACCCCATGATTTTTTGCGAAAAATTAAAAATGAATAAATTGTCAAGGTTTAAATGCCAATCGTTAGGAAATTTAATAACGAGTTCAGAAAGGTATGACAATCCATACTTTGAATCAGTATTTGCTTTGTTATAGCGAAAAAACTGCAATGTTTTAGCGAAAAAACGGGTTTGGTTTTTTTTTGGAAATTCGCGATTTCAGTTTTTGACAAAAATTGGAATTTTTTCTTTTGGTTTTTTTGCTGTAACTTGGCCAAAAATGGTCCTACACCAAAAATTCATACTGTTTTGAACAGATAACAAAATTTGCTATAAATCCATAAAACTTTCCGTGTAATTTTGGAAAAATAAAATTTTCGCCAATTTTTAAAATAATTTTTTATGAAAAATGGCAAAAAATAAAGTGTCCTTAAAGTGAAATGAAAAAACCTAAAACAAATCCCCAAAATGTAGAACCATCGCAGATTGTTTGTTCTTTCATCGTTATTTTATTTGAATTCAATTTGTAATCCATTCTCGTTGCGTGTGTCTTTCTGAGTTTACAATTAAGTACACTTTTACGGTTTTAAGTACATTCATAATCGCTAAGTACATAGTTTAATTTGTTCAGTAGTTTGTTGCTGCTGCATCCACATTAAATATAACCGATTCGCGGCTGCGGCTAGAACCATATATGTATTCTATATAATAGTAGTGGGGTGTGCTTTTTATAAATATATATATGTATAGGCATGTATTGGGTAAATGTAATTTCGTTTATTTTCGTTTAGCTTAAACAACGCTACAAACGCGAAATGCTTTGGTTATTGCTGTAAGAAGTCCACTAATTTAGTTATATAAGAATCATGCGTTTCGTATATTTAAATAGCTATATATTTAATATGTTTTATGTGTTGTTTTCTAGGCTACAGCAATGAATGAGTTTCGTTAAATAAGATCCTAAAAAAAATGTATCTAGATCTAGGCTTACGACTACTTGACTATACTTAGTTGCAAGCAGCACTATTTCGCCTGCCCTCTTCCTTATATAACTAGGTTTAAGCCACGCTGCGGTTCTCAAGGCCTCTTTCAATGTACATTATATTATTATTTTTATTTTAGTTGTGTATTTTTGTATTTCGTGTCAAGTCTTTCTTTTGTCATGCTAAAATGTTCGTTGTTTTTCGGTATTTCTTTGTCTTTTTGTTGTCATTGCAGCTACTTAAGTTTAATTCTTAAATAAGTACTATAGCTAGGAAAAAAAAGTGTTAAAAAAAATAGTGTTTGTCTCCAAAGATTTTGATTAGCTTGTGGTTTTTGTTGGTTGGACCGCTTAAAATAAGGGTGGGCAAAAAAAAAGAAGAGGTCTCAAAAAAAAAAAATGATATGGGGTTTATAAAACAGGGTTCTTCAGTTGTGACGATATAATCGAGCACCCTATTTTACTTTTTACTTTTAAGTACTTTTCTCTATAGACTACCATTAATGAAAACTATTTAAGCTTTGGTATACGTAAGGCGGTGTAAGACTGCTGCTGCTCCAGAATCAGTTTGTATGGCTATGGGTTCACTGCCTCACTTGTTGTCCACGCCGAGGAGCTTGGCCGCCTCGTCGGCGGAGGAGAGCAGCTTGTTGAGGATGCCCTGGTCGCTGATGCCCAGCAGGTTGCCAATTAGATCCGAACCAGCGACTGCCGCCGGCGAGGGAGTAGCCTCGCCCAGGTTCTCCTTGTGCTCGCCCAGCCGACTGGCCCTCCATTCGCTGGCCTTGTCCAGGAGCTCATGCAGCTTGGGCAGCTTCAGGCCCAATCCCTTGGCGGCGGCGCCGCCCCCATTGTTGTTGTTCACATGGCAGCTATTGTTGTTGTTCACTGGAGGATTGGGAGTGGCTGCAGGAGGAGCAACTGGAGCTGGAGTGCCCGGTGGGCTGCTCATCACCTGCTCATCATCGGAGCAATCGGATCCCGGATTGTCCCCGTTGTGGGCCCTTCCACTGTGCTTCTTCATGTGCCGCAGCATGCTGTGCTTTAAAGTGAACTTTCTCAGGCAGATGTCACACTGGAAGGGTCGCTCCCCCGAGTGGGTGCGCATGTGGCGCCGCAGATCCTCGGTGGACCAGAAGCGGCGGACGCAGAAGGCGCAGATCACCTTGCGGTTGCTGTAGTCGGGATACTTGCCGCGACTTCCGTTGCCATTGGTTGCCTCGTCATCGGAGTGGACAGACGACGACTGCTGCTGCTGCTGCTGGTGGGGATTGGCCGCCTCCAGCGACTCGTTCTCGATGGCTCCCTTGGCCAGGAGCAGGGCAAACTCGTGGGCATGGGCCAGCTTGATGTGCTCCAAGCACTGCAGTCGCTCTGCGAAGGATCCCTCGCAGAGATGGCACTTGTAGGGCAGATCTCCGCCAGCCAGGGCATCCGCTGCAGCTGCTCCGCCAGATCCTCCTGCTGCAGCGGCGGCAGCGGCAGCGGCATTCATCTGGGCCGCCAGCTTCTGGATGAGCTGCTGGCGCTCCCGCTCCTTCTCCTTCTCCAGCTCACGCTCCTTCTCCAGCTCCCTCTCCCTTTCCAGCTCCCTTTCCCGCTCCCTTTCCCGCTCCAACTCCCTCTCCTTCTCCTGGCGACGCCGCTGCTCCTCCAGCTCGATCTCCTCCACCGACTTGGGCACCGGAATGGGCTCGCTCACGTCCTCGGTGGGCACATAGACCGACATGGCCGACTCCACGTTGCCGTGCTTGCGCAGCAGATGGCGGTCGCAGTTGCTCTTGGTGGTGAAGAGCAGCGGGCAGTGGGAGCACTTGAAGGGCTTCTGCCCGGTGTGGGTGAGGATGTGCCGGCGCAGCGAGCTGCTCCAGGGGAACATCCGCTGGCAATAAGGACAGGAGACCCGATTGGGCGCCAAACTGTAGGCGGACTTCTTCTTGGGCTCGCTGCCCGAACTGCTGGAGGTGACGTCCTCGGTGCCGCTGTTGTTGCTCTCGCTGGCACTGCCAGAGGCCACCAGGCCCTCCTCGTCGCTCTGCTCCATGTGGTTGGCCACGTCGCTGGGCCGGAAGTAGCTGTTGAAGCTCATCGTCTGGCTGGTGGCGTTGTCCACCAGCTTGGCCACCGGCACCAGGTCCTGGGATTCGTCTTTGAACGGCGAACTGGCCACCTCTTTGAGGGATTTGCCCACGGACTCGGCCTGGGCAATCATGTTTTTGAGGCTGCTTGCCGAGCTGGGTGGTTCCTGCATGGTCACTAGTGCTTTCTCCTCTTGAGGATTCTCCTGTGGACTGGCGGTTGGCTTGCCCGCCTTGATGGCCTGCTCCAGTATGGTCTCGGCCATCTTCTGGGCCGCCTCGTTTTGCTCCAGTGGCTTGGGCAGCTCCTCCTCCTCGGCATCCTCTTCAACTGGCTGCTGCTCGGGCTGCTCCATCTCCATCTCCACCTCCGGCTCATCCAGCTCCTCTAGCTCCTCCTCCTCGTCCTCCTCGAACTCCTCCTCCGCCTCGGCCTCCACCTCATGATCCTCATCTTCGTCTATGATCAGCTTGGGCTCATCATCATCCATGGCAATGGGATGACCCCCGTTGACTCCCAAGGGACTGGGCGTGGTTAAGGGATAGCCGAAGTGCAGGAGCGGATTCCCGGCCACGCTGCTGGAGCCATGGGCCAAGGCCTGCTGCAGCAGATCGGTGTTCTTGTGCGCCTTCAGCTGCTGGGCGAGAATGGCGTACTTGACCTGCTCCGAGATGGGGGCATGGCCATGGCTGCCATGGTGGTGATTCGCGGAGGTGGTGGAGGAGGCTGCTGCGGCGGCTGCGGCGGCTGCTGCTGCTGCTGCCGCACTGGAGGCTCCCCTGCCCCTCATCACATGGTGACCGCTCCTCTGCCGCTGCGCGTAGAACTGCGGATGCTGCTGCTTCACGTGGCGCTCCATGTTCGAGCGCAGGGTGAATCTCGCCGAGCAGTGCTCGCAGGCGAAGGGTCGCTCGGTGCGGTAGCGTCGCTGCTTCTGCTTGGGCATCAGCACTCCGTTCTTAATGACCATTTTCACGGGGCCACCGGGTGGAACGGGCACGGGCACACCCACTCCCACTGGCAGGGGATTCAGGGAACTGAGGCGACTAGGTGGACTCACCAGGGGCGCCTTCTCGGAACTCACCAGCGGGGATTGCTGCTGCTGGGGCGGCGGGGGCGCCATGAAGGGGAAGAAGGGAAAGCCGGAGGTCTGCGACTGGAACATGAGGCTGCGGAAGAGCTGCTGCATGTACTGGGAGGCGGCATCCCCGCCAGCGCCGAACAGCTGCTGCTGGGCGAGGAGCAACTGCTGCTGCTCCAAAGCGAGGGCAGCCAAATCCGAGGGAGCACCTGGCACCACAGTGGGCAGGGCAGTGGGTGTGGGCGTAACAGAGGCTGTAGGCTTCTTGCTGAGATCCAGCACATCCATGCTGAAGTCCTTCTCCACTTCCTGCTGCTTGGGAGGAGCTGCCACCGAGGGCTTCTTGTCCACCAGCTGGTCGAGGGATTTCACCTGAATCTTAAGCGGCGGCTGGGCCACCGGATGAAGGTTCTCACCCAGGAGCATGTGCTTCAGCTGGGAACTGCTAGTGCTGCTCTCATTCAGAGGCGCCACTACTCCCGATGGAGGAGGCGTGGGGCTAATCGAACGGAAGCTCAGATCGGCCAGATCCTCGCCCAGACGCGACTTGCTGTCCTCGCAGCCGGCATCCTCCGCCGGATGGTAGACAATGGCCCGCTTCACCTCCTCCCGCGAGGTCTTCCCATGCCGGTTCCTCAGATGCCGCTCGCAGTTCGCCTTGGTGGTGAAGGCGTAGTTGCAGACGGCGCACTCGTAGGGACGATCTCCGTTGTGGGTGCGCATGTGCCGCACCAGAGCGGCCTTATCACACACGGCATAGGGACACATGTTGCAGCGAAAGGGTCCCGCCGGACCCACTGCACCCAGATGCACCCGGTTGTGACCCTTCAGCGCACGCAGATTGGGAAAGACGCAGCTGCAGAGCTTGCAGGGGAACTCGCCGCGCAGCTTCATGCGGCGGAACTCCGAGGTGAAGGCATCCTGGGCCTCCTCCTCCTGATCCCGGCCATCCAAACTGTACTGACTCGAGCTGGGCGTGTTCACCGACTGCTCGAAGTTGCGCAGGAAGCTCGAGCTGGAGCTGGTCATGTTCAGGATGCTCTGGATGTCGGCCAGATCCTTGCTGTCCGCCGGCTCGTGTTTGATGGGCGAGGGAGGATGCGAGATGGCGCCAGAGGAGGCGGAGGCCTTCTGCTTAAGGTACAGCTGCTGGAAGAAGTCGTCGCTGGGCATGCGCTCCTTGCGGTCCGCATCCTCCTCCTCCAGATCCTCATCCCCATGGAGGGGCGAACTACTGGCTCCCAGGAGCGGCGGCAGGACAGAGGATCCGCGACAGCAGTGCGCCTGCAGCTGGCGGTGGCTGGCGAAGATCACCTCGCAGTCGCGGCACTTGGCCGGGATATCCGAGTGCCTAGCATCCAAATGGGCGCACAGGGCGGGCAGCGTCTCGAAGTCGGAGGCTCCGCAGGCGGGGCAGCTGAGCAGCAGGGAGGCGGGCGAGGCCGGCGGCGAGGGGGAGGGCGAACGGGAGGCCGCGCCGGAGGCACTGGCTCCGGCCAGCAAGGTGGCCACATCCGGTGTGCTGGTCAGCATGGCCACATCGGCCTCCTCCTCCCGATCCTCCTCGTCATCTAAATTATCCCGATCCTCCTCCCGATCGATAATGTTGTTGTTATTGATGGTCGTCTTCTGGCGGCGCTGCTTGCTCTCCTGCGGATCCACCACCACCACCTCGTCCTCCAGCTCCTTCAGGTTGTTGTTGGCCTTGTGCGAGTTGTTGTTGTTGTTGAAGGAGCTGCTGCTGCGACTGTGGCCACTGGAGACGTCCGTGGAGCAGCTGGCGTCGCTCTCGTAGCTCTCCGCTCGTCCCGCGGTGGCCACCAGTTGCTGCTGCTGCTGCTGGGCGGGATTCTGCTGCTGTTGCTGTCTGCGTTGCTGTTGCGACTGTTGCGACTGTTGCTGTTGCGACTGAGACTGCTGCTGCTGTTGCGACTGCGCTGCCTGATGCTGCTTGTGGGTGCGCATGTGGCGGTGCATGTTGCCGTTGGTGGTGAAGGTCAGGTGGCAGTAGCGGCAGTTGAAGGGCCGCTCGCCCGTGTGCACCAGCACGTGTCTGTCCAGGGATGAGGCCGAGGATAGCACCTGTTTGGGGTAGCAGAGAAAGAGAGAGAAGGGAGGAGTGGGAGAAGCGGAGAACAGGTGAGTGAGTAATCAGGCAATCGGGGGTTACAGCTATTAAAAAACCCTGGCACACCTGTCTTTTCATCCAACAAACTGGAGAAACAACTAGTATTTGATCTTTGTGAAAATAAAAATCTACTTAATTTATTCAACATAATAGTCTAGATTATAATATATTAATAATCGGATTTTATGAAAAAAATTAAATTTCAAATAATCTATATTGGTTTAAGTTTAAACATTTAAACATTTAATTAATATTTCCTTTAATTTTTAAGAACAATTTATCATTTATCAAAGAACTATAGAAATCAAAAGTTTTGAATAAGTTTTGCATATAGTCCAATAATAATGATAATCAAATATTTTATATTTATATAATTTTATAATTATTAAATTTATATTTTTTATATAAAATATAATTTTGAATTTCTAAGAACAATTTATCTTTAATCAAAAATGTCTAATGATGATAATCAAAATTGAAGTGTCAATAAAAGTTTTATATTTTTTTAGGTTAACCTCTCAATTAAGTTTATTATAATATGCTATAATAAATAATCTTTAAATTGTTTGGTTATTATTTAATTATTTGTTTAAATGTTTCTTGGTTTTCATAATAATAAATGATAATAAATAAATAAATGTGTTTTAGGTTCAACCTCATAATTAAGTTTAATTAATATTTGGTAATTTACAAAGACCCCTATTTAAATCCCCCTATAAAATATCATATTTATCAACAACTAACCCTTAATCTTAAAAAAAATCCCACTCATGATCCCAATGACTCACCTTGGAGCAAATGCGGCAGGTGAAGTTCTCCGTGTCGCCGTTGGCGTAGTTGTGGCACCGGATGTGGTTGGTGAACTCGTGCGGCGTGGCCGAGACCACCTCGCAGATGGGGCACAGGTACTTCATGTGCTCGTCCCCGGCTCCGATGCCCGACTCGCCGCTGGAGAGGCACAGGCCGCCCTGCGGCGAGGAGCCGCCGGATCCGCCGCTGCTGCTGCTGCCGCTGCTGCTGGAGGCTCCGCCAGGTGGAGCCACCCCAGCACCTGCACCACTAGAAACTGCGGTGGTACTGTTGTTGTTATTGGCGGTGCTGCTGTTGCTGTTGCCCAGATAGCCACTGTGGGCCGTGCTGCTGGCATCCACGAATCCCGATTCCGAGAGACTGGCCGCCGCCGAGCGATTCAGGCGGAACTTCTTGCGCAGCGAACTGGCATCGCCGCCGCTGTAGTCCACCACAATGGAGGCCTGGGTGCTGCGGCGCTGCTTGTGCCGCCCCAGATTCCGGGGCTCCTCGTCCTCGTCGCGCTCCTCCTCCTCCTCCTCGTCGCTCAGCAAATCCTGCTGCTGGTGATTGAGTTGCTGCTGCTGCAATTGGCGGAGTTTGCGCTTGCGCGACGTCGCCGCCGTCAATTCGTGGGGCGTGGAGGTGGTCTGGGCGGAGCCACCGCTGCCACCCAGCTTCTTGGGCGTGCGACCCAGGTCCAGGTGCTCCAGGGATGACTCCGAGGTGGTGGAGTCCCGGCGCTGGCGCTCCATTTCCGTTTCCGCTGTGCTGTTGTTGTGCTGCTGCTGCTGCTGTTGCTGTGCGGCGAGCATTTTTCCCCAAGTGTTTGTAGAAAGTCTGCAGAAAAGAATTGGGGAGGAGAGAGAGAGAAAAGGACTCTTAGTGATGGGGAATCAGGTATTTCCGCCGTCTGTCAGTGGGCTGTCATTCAATAACACTCAATAAAGCAAGCACAACACTTGAACTAGTGTTTGTAAGTAGATAAGAGTTCACAATAAAATATTTTAAGACAAAAGTACAAGTCTTTGCAGAAAGCTGAAGATTTCCACCGTAAACAAATCCTATTCCTTTATTTTGACTACGTTTGCTGTTATATCTTTATTCCGTCTAGAGTTCAAATAATCAAATAATAACACTCTCCGATTGTCGCGTAATCCTACACTAAATCTTCGCTCCCATAAACAGCTGATCGAACTCGAACCCAGGAAAATAAACAATGCTCCACACAACGACAACAACAGAAAACAGAAGCGAAGAATCACTTTGAAATCGTGTTAGCGAGAAAAGCCAATAAGAAGAATTCGCGACTGTTGCAAGTGCATCCGCGGAAAAGGTGCGAGGAATTGAATTCAATACGCATCTGGCAACGCCGCACGCTTATCTCGTTGCCAGTGTGTGCACACATATGTGGGTGAAAAATGTGGGCACGCTCATTAGCATTTACCGTTATCAAGGCTATGACTATTAGCGGTGTTCCAGTTGTTGTTGCTGCTTTCGGGGTGGATCAATTTGGAAATCCTAACTTCCCACCGAAAAACAAAAAAAAAAAACCTCAGAGGCTGATCAAAAATTTCTACCGATAACGAGCCCACCTATTCGCTATACGTATTTATACATATATATATCACTTATTTTTCGTGGATGTGTGTTAGTTTTTTGTTGTCCATTGGCTTTCGGCTTGGCCTTTCATTTTGGTTGGCTGATTTCAAATTCGTCGTCGTGAGTCATGGAGAGTCATTGAGATAAAGACTCCCTCCCAATAACACATATTTTTGGGGCGGGGAATCGTAAGGCGATTTCAGAACAAATTCACACCTTTATGACCCTGGGAATTATCAATGAACACGAGTTGGTCAGCGAAAAACAAGTTTCTAATCGCCATCTAACGAAATCAAACCGAGTGAAGTGAACCGTTTGACATGTTGTACACGGCACAACCCCATGTGATATTAGGCAGATCATCAATCTGCATTAAACCCTATAAACGGGGTCTCATCAACCCTACTGACCGAATATTCTGGTTCTTTGCCCTCTCGGACCGTGCGTCAAAGTTCAAGGGTCTTGGCATTGGCCACAGTCATTAAAAGGGAAGCGATTCCGGAGTCGAAATGCCGTCGCAACTGTTGAACAAAATTTCGCAACTGAATCAGCACTAAGGTAATATTTTTTACTCTATTTATTTTGGATTAAAACATTTTTTTGGTTGTTGTCGCTTTGGAGACTCTAGTCAAGTGGAAACTTGGATTATGAAAAGGATAAATTTTGAATAAATATAAAAGCTAACTTTGAAATATAAATTTCCATGATATTGAAAAATTCTCAAAATTCTCTCTTACTTGGAATAGTCGTTTAGAAAATGCAGAATATATTAAAAGTTTTTGAAAAATTATAAACTCTAAATAATACAGGTTCGAAAGTTCTATAAAAACTAACTTTTAAAAGCCCTTAGAAATCGCACAAATGTAGCAGTCTTAAGAATATGTTTTTAATATTATATTCACAAATACTTACTGCAGACTTGTTGTAATCTCGTAACAGAATAACCGTGTTTGCAATAAACTCTTAGTTTTTCAATTTTCTTGTAATATTATGTGCACAATATTGCAATACATTTTTGTACCAATTTATTTGGGTCAAGTTCTTCCTGCGATTAGCTGGGTCGAACAACTACCCATGGTTTTTGGTATCTTTTTGGTGTTGAGTAGTAATTTTTATCAGATGGTTTAATTCTGATAGCACTTTGTGTTAAGTTTGGGTTCACTATATATTCTTCACACTTCTTTGGCTTTCAAGCTTGGGGTATTCCAAAATTCCCAATGGTTTGTGTTTGAGAAACTTAAAAAAAATGTTTTTGCTTGTAGGATTAGAATTGAGAAATTCCGTTTGGTTTTTTTTTTCAAATAACTATTTGATTCGTCTGCTTTCTGAGTTGGTTGTCTTTAGTTTTTGAAGCGCCGCGCACGAGTTCAGTGTTTTCAGAGTTTTGAGCGCAGCCGCAGCGCAACCGATTCGGCAGATGAAAATCGACTGGTAGATGTATCTACGAGTTGTATTTATAAAAGCACGTCGCCTGCCGCTGCGCTGCCGGCGTCTCTGCCCGCGAGAGCGAACGCAGTTATCTGCAGAGAGCAGCGGAGAGCTGCGGAGCGAGAGAGCGCCTGAGCGCGTCTCGGCGCTTTTGCCTGTGTGTGTGTTAGATAAAGCTGGCGACTGCGCTGCTTTCGAGCGGAGGCAGCGCAGCTTGGATTTCTTCGTCTCTTTTTCTTTTTTGGGCGCAAATACCCACCGGGAAAATTCCTCTGGAAAATAACATATTTTCAAGAGGTTTCTCCATAGAAGCGGAAGGGACTAAACCTCATTCACCCCTTACATTTCTTCCATCTCTGGTTTCAAAATACACGGGGGTGACACAAAAAGTAAGGGGGAAATGAGGTTTCTATCTGGATCTCTGGCAGAAGAATGCAGGACAAAATCCACTGGTTTTTCGACTTCCCGCATTATAGATTTTCCACACGTACCCAGTTATGGTTTTCCTCCACTTGTAATATCTGCTTTTCTACACCCTCCCAGTTTTGGTTTTTCCAGACCCTCGCAGTTTTGGTTTTGCACTGCTTTGCAGTATCTGATTTTCCACAATAAAAATCATGTTTTTTGTAATATTTGTTTGTGTATTTATTAATAATATTTACAATCGAAGCATTGGAACTACAAATTTTTAATGCCTGAAGCATTCCCGGGTTTTGCTTGGCCGAATGCAGTACTTAGATATCCATTTCTTGTCTGTCTTCTGAAAATATCAAACATAATTTAGATATGAATTTAAGACCAGGAATAATAATAAGAGTAATTACCATTATTAGGTCTCCGCACAAAATTAAAGGATCTCTCCAGAAATTATGCCTGGTTTGCCATGGCCGATCATTTACCCTCTGTTCAGTTGTTTTATGTCGGGTATCTATATCAAAAACTATGAGAAGAAAAAATAAAATATGACAATCGCAGGCGCAACACTTCTGGTCCCAAGAAGTCTCAGTCGGCCTGGCTGAAATAAATGTAATATTTTGATTAAGTTAAACAACTAAGTTAGTACTGAAGTACTATTTATACAACCATTTAATGAACACCTCACACCATTTACCACTGGTAAAGATTAAAAACATTTCAAGTGTCACTGAAATGCAGAATTTGTGTTGAAGATAGCATCCGGAGGCGTATATTTATTAATGGGGAAAATATCTGTGATACTAACCTTTGTAACGCTGAAATAAAGGTTATAAAAAGACAAAATTCATTTTATCACTCACCTTTTTATTGTTTTTTAGATTAAAATTAACTATTTTCACTTTTTTTTCACTTTTTCCAACAAATTTAAAAATGATGTGACCCTGCATCATATACTTGATAATACTAAATGCAGATTTGATAAAAATTTCGTTGTCAAGTCCGGTCACACTTTGGCGCCAAATAAGTATTTCGTTTAAAAAATACTTTTCAGGGACCGTAATCATTAAAGGTTACGTATATTATTGGTATGTTAGGCATTTTTCGTGTTATCAATACCACCAACACGAATTTTTATATTTTAACAACACTTAAAAATGGCTTAGGCCACGATCTGACGATCAAATTATTTTATTTCACAGAAAATGTTTAAAAATGTAAAAAGCAACAATAGTTTTCTTTGTAATTTAATGTAATTCCTTGATAAATGTGATCAAATATTTTAATCGTCTTACCGTGGCTTTTCTCTATAATTTGGTTGAATCCTACATTCATCCTTATTATTATTTGAAAAATGTTGAGTAAAATAAATTAATATTATCATTATAGACATTATGATAATAATGTTATATAGTTTAATTTTTTTGATTAACAATTATTAATATTTTTTCTACGACTTTTAAAATTACTAAAAATTAAAACTAAATGTGAGAACAAGTCTTTTGGTTTTGGTGTAAATCATAGGATTTTTGAATATTATAAGTTGGTGATTTTCTTGTTTAAAAATATTATAATCGTAGTGCCACAGAAATCACACAGCGCATAAATGGCCCGATATTGATGCTACTCAGAAACCCACCCTCATTTAGCGCTCAGAAATTATCTATCCCTACACCGCCGCCTGCAAAAAGGAACAGGATTTCAAGAACACAAAAACCAACTTCTCACATTCCCGCTGGGTAGGATTACACTTTGGGTGCGTGTGTGTGTGGAAGAGCGAGAGGGTCACATCTTCCTGGAGAGGAGCCAAGAAGAAGAGAGGAGAAGAATTGTGCCCATTGGAAGTACAGTGAACAAATTGGAGAACTGGAAATGGATACCACATAGTCCTTCAATATTTATGTATTTTCTAGAATGAAAAATAACATTTTTATAAATATTACTGTTTAATGATAGTTTCCACTACTAAACGGTTGATATCTAAAAACATTGACCTTAGATGAAAACCGCTACGACTAAAAGGCCTGATAATGGATTGCTTTTAACCGCATTAAAGATAAAATAACTTTTATAATATAATAATAATTAAATTTAAAGACCTAACTTGAGTTACCTGAGTTACAAAAAGCTTTTAATTTTTCAAGAGACTTACGACTACGAGTGCCCACTGTATATAGCACCCACATACACAAATGCATATGTGTCTGGATGCATTTTGGATTTTTGGGTAAATCCCGTTGCCATTGGCCACGATTGCCATGTTTGTTGCTCTCTCTGTCGCACATCATCTAGCGATGAGCACATCCACATCCAGATCCATCTACATACACATGCACACGTACATATATGCACATCTATATCTTCGTACATCCACATCCGTATCCATTAACCCCCGTGCGGACACTTCCTGGGCAGTTCCTCAACCTTAACCTCTAACTTTGCCCAGAACGGAAGTCGGAGACGATCGGTACTCTTCTTGGTCCCTTTTCACCTTTTCACCTTTTCAGGGTGTGTCATCAACAATCAAGCAGCATTAAAATTAACATTAATGCACTGGGAAAAACAAGTCAATAACCCCTAACTCTGTGATATCAGTACAATCGAGTTATTTTAAGATTACTAAAAACTCCTTCAAGTTTTTTTTCAAATGTCGCAAGAAATATTTGTATGTAAATAGTTATAAACCAGATAATCAAGTAATTTAAACAAAGTTTTAATTTTAATGTTGATATTAATACTCACATTTTTACAGAATATTTATGAAATTTATTACAATTAAAGCTATAAGGAATTTGTATATTTTTTTAAATTTTTGGATGATGTATTTTTTTTTTCTCAGTGTTTTCAATGAAAAGACAACATCGTCGTCGTTACAGTTGACCGCCTTATAGAACTTAAAATAAGGAAGACGAGAGGTCAACTCTAAAGAGTGTCAGCTGCCGAAAGAATGTAAATTAGGTGACCAACTACCCTTCCTCAGCATCTCTTCCCAAAATCGATGCATTCAATTGATTCTCCACTCGAAAAAAATTAATACAAAATGAGAATACAAAACAATTGTAACAACAGTGCAAAAGTAAAAATAAAATAAATGAACACAATAAAACAATGCAAGCAAAAGACAAAAAAGTAAAATAAAACAACGGCAAAATTGTGCAAAAAATGCAGCAAGAGTTCAATACACTCGCCCACTCACCCACACTAGTGTACTCACACCGACACAAACACGCGCCCCTACGCACACAAACACACATAGCGACACGTGCATCGCGCTGTTTGTACACAATTTAATAATATTTACGTTTTATTTATAATGAACTTGAAAAATTCGCACAGTGGTTCAGCGATAATAAAAAAAAATGTATTTTGGTTATTAAAAAATGTAAATAGTTTCCAAATAACTAATGTATAAATACTTTAATGTTACTTAAATTCTAAAATATTAAAAGAATTTTTTTTATACATTTTCCTATGCACATTAAATATTAAATTATAAAGAAAAACATTTTTTTCAAACTGTAGAAACATCGAAAAAATCGATGACCAATTGGAAATGTTGAATGTGTCACAGTCTGTTTTTTTTTTTTTTGTATTTTGAGTTGGTTGCGCATGCGCGTGGGTGGCACAATAAAAACCCAATAACAACAATAACATTAACGACAGCAACAGCAACACAATAACAACAATATAATGGTAATGGCAATGCGTGCTAAATAAACATTAAAAGCCAAGCCATATATTGCATTTTTGCCATATGCAAACAGCTGAGAAACCAAAGTGTTTCAGTTTCAGTTTCGTTTTCGGTTTCTGTATCAATTTCCCTTTTTTTCAATGGAGGCGGAAAGTGTTGGCGGTACTAAGTAATAACGGTAAAGTGCAGTCGCCGCGGAAAAATATGAAGCAGAAGAAGAAGAGGCGACAACATTAGCATTTAATTGCCAACATTTAGTTAGCATTTAATTTAGCATAAAACAAATGGCAAACAATGCCAGCAGCCGAAAGTCCCACGCTCTGCTCTTCAAACTTGAAAAGCACCCCCCACCCGCACTTTTTGCCCCATATAATATTCCCCCAGTTTATCACTTCGTTGTAGGAGTTTCTACACAGAAAACAATTAAAATATTATTAATTATATTATTAATAATATAATAATATTATTATCAAAATCTTGAAGAGAAATAAGTAACATTTAAAAGCTAACATTTTACTAATTAGTATGAGATTATAAAATATTTAAAGAAATAAATACCTGTAAATTGCTTAAAATTAAATAATTATTGCCAATAATTCGGGAATAAATATTTAAAATATTCCATTAAAATATTAAAAATAATAACGACTTGTAAATATTCAAGGTATTTATTAAAATATTTAAAGGAATAAATATTTGTAAGTATGCCTAAAATTAAATATTTATTACCCATAAATCGTGCATAAATGTTTAAATTTTGTAAGTGAATAAAAAATAAAATGTATATAAATACTAGTAAAAAAATAGCTACAATAAAACTATAATTGACATAAATTGTTTTTAGTGCTCTCCATTTATATATGGTTTCTGTCGTAGCAATGCCTG